AAAATACTGATTCGCTTGCCTTACGAAAGACAGAAAGCTAGACAGACTGACCAAGAGCACCATCAGTCTAAACAATTGATCTTCATGGTTAAATTGGCATGAGATGAAGGAGAAACTTAACTGCTTTCGTGATCATGTGCCACTGAGCATGATGAAATTTCATAAAATAATGAATATTCGAGAGGTAAGTACTAAGCAGGCAAGTTCAAGGACAACCAATGAAATTAAAAGGTAGCAAATTCATAACTTGGTAAGAAGAGACACTTTCTTCATGTAATAAGACCATGGAACAAATTGTTCTTAAATGTAATTAAGGCTGAGAATTTAGTAAGATTCATAGAGAGACTGGATATTTATATGGATATCAGAGTTATCATGTTATTTATCAACGTTTTGGAATGGAAGCTGAAGTTAAATCTTCTCCTTTGGGAGGTAATCCAATCTCTGACTGGTAGAAACCAGGATGAGAACTCATGGGGGGAGAATAGGGAAGCATGGGATGAGAAAGGAGAGAAAAGCTGTAATAATCAAGAGGAGCTCCTGCTCCAGCCAGGCCCAGAATCTGTCACGGCCTGCGCCAACTAAAGCAAAGTACATGTGCAGCTCAGAGCTTGGAGCTGGCTCCAGTCCATGGTGCTCCTTTCTCCATTTCCATTAAGGCCATCACTAGGGTTACCGTATGTCCGGGTTTTCCCAGACATGTCCTCTTGTTGGATCGTCCAATCTCAGTCCGGGTGGTTTTTTTAAATATGATCAAATGTTCGGGATTTTGGTTAGGTCAGCTTTGAAGTTTTTCTTGGCACTTCCTGGCTTGCCCTAGCAAGGAGCTGCCTGGGGCTGGGTGGAGCGGAGAGGGTGATGGGAGGCAGGGTGCACATGCACGTGTCCAGGTAGGAGCAGCCCCGGCACTGGGATGCAGGTAAGTGGGGGTCAGAGGGCCAGGGCTTGGGGACTGTTCTGGGGTTGGAGGGGTGTGGGTGTGTGTATGACTGGGTACTGGAGCTGCAGGGGGGCTGGGGGGGGAGGTGCCTGCCCCTCCAGCAGGGAAGGGGCTGGGCGAGCCCTTCGGGGGCAATGGGAAGCTGTGTGCATGGCCGGCAACACCAGCACCGGTGCCCTTTTTCATAGAGGTGGGGTAGGGTGGCCAGGAGATGCTTCAGGGCTGGGAGGGGCAGGAGGCTGAGCGTTGGGAGTGAGGGAAACCAACTGGGCATGAGGGCCACTGGCAGGGCTGGTGGGGTAGAGGACTGTGGGCTGGGAGTGAAGGGCACTGGCAGGGGATGCAGGTTGGAAATAAGGGGCACTGGTAGGACTGGGGGGACTGTGGGTCGGGACTGAGAGCTACTGGGGGTGGGAAACTGCAGCTTCGGAGTGAAGGGCATCAGCAGGGCCCGGGAGGCGCAGGGGACTGTGGGTCAGGAGTGAGGGGCAGCAGCAGGGCTGGGGGAGCTGGGGCTTGGCAGTGAGGGGCAATGGAATTGGCAGGGGCAGGGCATGGGAATATCACTGCCCCCCACAATCATATTACCTGTCCTGGCCTCTCCCCTCATGTGACAGGTGTTCCCTTTTTTGGAACTGGAAACTTGGTAACCATACTCTCGGTGCTAGTGCCTCAGTTCCCACCAACCCTCAATGCCCCCAAGATCCTCACCAAAGCTTTCCACTCTCCTCCCTTCCCCCCGCCCTCCCCAGACCCTATATTAGCCAGTCCTATAACCCAAATGCACAGCTGTGGGGACCCACTGGAGCTAGGTCTCAAATAATCTGGAATGGACAGACAGAAACAGAGGGACAGACCCTGGCCAGAGAGTAGAGGGGTCCTGGGTCACAGCCCCACCACACCTAGGAGCAACTGGGTCGCAGGCAGCCTTTGCCCTGGGAGTCCAGATGCTCTTGAATGAGGCTTGTCCTTCAGCAAAGCTGAGCGCTGGCCTGAAAGCAAAGCCAGGCTGTGGCAGTTTCACTGGAGAGGGGAAGCGGCCTGAGCCCTTGGGAAGGCCACTCCCAGCAGCTGCAAAGGGTCTGTTGCTCCTGGGGGACTGTGATGGAAATGAGCACTGGGCACCACGCCGGCCTCGCTCCCCACTTCCTGGCACTTCTCTGCCTCCTTGCACATAGGGTCAAAGGTTCAGAAATGGGAAGGAAGGGCAGAGTGGATGCTGTTTAGATGGAGTCAAAAGGCTCATTTCTTAGCAAAGCAGCGTGATGCAATGGCCTGGCTTCCTTGTGTCAGCTGGGAAGAACCAGCTGTGACCTCTGCACAGACCATGCTGCCAACCAGGCCTTGGGAGAGCGTTGGCCAGGGGTTTGCAGGATGCAAGCAACAAATGCTTGCTGGGCAGCATTGCCTTGCTGCAGGGTGGTAGTGTCTCCATCTCTCTGCAGGTTTGAGCCCTGCTCTCTGTAAGTTTTTCCCTGTATGATGGGAACAAGGGGAGAACCTGAAGGCACCCTCCTAGCCTTGAGCTTGTGGCTTGATAGCAGAGGTCTCTGCTTAGGATGCTAGAGTTGCAGGTTTGAGTCCTGCTCATTTTAAGTCATGGTGGGGTGGGGAAGGAACAAGGGGAGACCCCAAAGACAATCTTTCGGACATTAGCTTGTGGCTTGGTGGTGGAGTCCTGTGCTAGGATGCAAGAGACCTGGTGTCAAGATCTGTCTCTGGTCTCTTCTTGTTCCTTTTTTTCCCCCAAGTTGTGACTTAAAATGAGCATGCTAAGAAATGAGCTACATCTAAACAGCATCCGCTCTGCTCTGCCTCCCCATTTCTGAACCTTCAACCCATGTGTGAGTAGGAGTCAGAGCAGAGCCAGGAAGTAGAGAGCAAGGCCATCCATGGTTTCTAGCACTCATTTCCATCACAATCCCCCAGGAGCAGTGGACCCATCACAGCTGCTGGGAGTGGATTTCCTGGGGGCTTGGGCTGCTCCCCCTCTCCTGTGACACTGCTGCAGCCTGGCTTTGCTTCCAGGCCAGCGCTTGGCTGTGCTAAAGGACAAGCCTCATTCAGGTGCATCTGGAGTCCTGGGGCAAAGGCAGCTTGAGACCCAGCTGTTTCAGGTGTGGTGATATGATCCAAGCACTGCTGTGCTTCCAAGACCCCTCTACCCTCTGACCAGGGCAAGGCCTGTCCTCCCTCCCCTCTGGCTGTGACAAGTGAATCATCAGACACACGTCTGGAAACAGCACACTTTAATTTGCACTTCCCTGGTACCCTCCTGCCCAGGAGCCTCAACACATTCACAATCCATGGGGGAGCAATGCCAGCCCTCCTGCTGCCCATCCCCTCCTCTGGCCAGGGAGCAGCCCCTGGGTGCACAGACACACACCCCTGTTACCAGATTTGCCCGTCACTTTGGGGTGTGCTTATTTATTAGGGATACGTTTCTGGGGGTCTCTGTAGTTCTGTCAGTGTCCTGCTTGTATTACTTGTGTTTCTATAAGGAGCTGTACCTTTCCTTTCTGCAAGTCCTCACCCTCAATAGAGCTATCCTGCAGGACTCAGTTTCAATGGGGCTGGGTTCCTCCAACCACCGAATCAGTCAAACACATGTACACACATACACACACACATCAACAGGATATGCCTGAGCCAGGCCGGGCTACTTAGCATTGACAGGCTAATACCCTCATATGCCTTGAACTCAATTCAGCAGGGCAACAATAAAATTCAGGCAGACACAAGCACACAGGTTAAGAGAGCACATCTGAGTCAGGCTGGACTATTCAGCATTGATAGGCTGACACCCCCATGTGCCTTGAACTCAGTTCATTCCTTATTTCAGCAGGACAATAATAAATGCGGTTAGACACAACCATGCTAACAGAGTATGTCTGAGCAGGCTGGGTCCGATCAGCACTTTCAGCTGATACCCTCATGTGCCTCAAAACTCAGCACATCCCAATTGCTTGTCACAATGGTCCTAGTAGTAACACCCTTGATGAGCAGACCCCACTGTGGGTTTGGGCATTACAGGGATCTTTGGCTTAGGTAAGAGGAGCGTTGCTGCAGAGCAAATGGGGAAGGTCAAGGGGAAGAAAGAGTAGGTGAGGTTCAGAGAGAAAGTATAGCAATCAGATTGACCATAAATGTTATTTATTGCCAGGTATATGAACTTATGATGATACCACTAATAAGAGCCGTACGAGAGAGAGAGAGACAAATAAACAGCTACAGTATTACATAGTTTCAATTAGGGTTTGGGGGAAGTCTAGCTTGAGTTTGATTAGCAAAAGTCAGGTTTAGAAAGCTGTGCCTGGAGTAAGAGAATAAAAATCAGGTTCCTGGAGTCAGAGAGAGAGAGTTGGGATCTCACCACTCAGCAAAGCTTGAACCAGTCGAGGTTTCCAGGCGTTGTTGGAGCTGGCAGACAGGCAGAGCCCTCAGCACGATCAGTGGAGAGATTCCAGGCAGAAAAAGAGCAGAACTGGTGCAGCTTGGGATCCAAGCACCAGGACAGAAACTGGAGCTTGGGTAGGGGTTTTTGTAGAGAACTAACAATGGCTCAAGGGAGATCACTAGGTTTGTTTAGGGGTAAACAATGGTTCATATGCTGGGTAAAAGGAACTGATCACTCCTGGCTATAGGTGGCATTACTCTGAGGGAGCTCATAATACAGACAGGCAGATTCAGTGTTTTGGATACCAGTAGAGGAGTCACTACTAGAATTGGTGTGATAAATGCTGAGCTGGGTGTGTGTAGATGTGGGGTGATTAGCATTTGGAGTAGGGATCCCCCATCATGCAGTGCTCCCCTGCTTCTCTGGTCCCAGAATTCAGTGCGGTCCATGCCTCGGGATCTCTGTTCTCCATCCTGAATGCTAACGAAGGCGCATGCCTGTCCCATCTCCCATGTAAATGAGTCATCGTCTGGTTCCAACTTGGATGCAAATGAGACCATGGAGTTGCTTCACTCTTGTCACCCTTGTCTGCAGGGCTTTAGTGTGTCTCCCACTGCATCTTCCTTGTCTTTTGTAAGTCCTTCCTCTAAATAGCTCTTGCTCAGGCCGAGGTGGGGAGGGGGAGTTCGTGCGAGTCAAACAGGCCGCGTCCTGTGCCAGGGCTCCCCAAGAACACGGAGCTGAGAGGTAACACCCTCGATCGTAGCTTCTGCCCTTACTCAGGTTCTCCACCCGGACCGGAGTCATGTTCCCCATGAACAGCAGGGCTGCAGCGTCTTTGCGGTGCCGGGTGTACTTTTTGGGCACCCCGCAGGTTCAGCTGCACTTGGGCAGGCTGCGGGGTCCAGGGCAGGATCCCGTTCCTTCCTGAGGAGCAGCTGGCCATGTCCAGCAGCAGCCAGGCATCAGCGGTAGGCTGCCGATTCCTGGAGGGTGGTGCGGCAAAGTGGGACCCCTCCCCCTCAGCATCTGGGAGCTGGCAGAGGTGATCTGAAAGACAGGGGCAGCATGTGCCTGGGGGGAGGAAGCTCCCACTCCAGCTCCCCCACCACTACCTGGTGCAGGCAACTCTCACTTTTGTCAGTCTGAGGTAGGATCATGATAGTGATCACCTTAGGGCTGCTGTCTGCTGGGAACCTGCAGCTAATGCTGGCCCAGGTGCCCCCAGCAAGGCAATAGCTCTGGGTGATTGGGGTGGGGATGGGGGTGGGGGGGGTCCATGACCCAGGAAGGAGACTTAGACTCTTTCACCAGCCAGTCCCACTCTTGCCCTCATCCACCATACTGCTGGAGCAGCTTCCTACTACCTCTTTGAAAACCCTCCATGATGCTTAGTAGCTAGGGAGGCATCAGCAGCTTTGAAGCTTGCCTATGAACTGCAGCTGCAAAATTTTCTGCTGGCAAAGACAAACCCACTAGGAGTTGGGTCAGTAGACAGGAGAGCTCTGGGCTTGGCCTGGCTCCCTTTAGGGTGCAACTGCCTGGACACTGGGTCACCTGCTGGCAGATGCAGCCCCTCACCTTTACATTCCCTTTGCAAGGGCCAGGCACCCCATGTAGGCATGTACGACCACCCTATAGGGTGGCTGGACTTTGCAGCCCCATGGGCTGCAGAGTGCTGTCCCGTGGGCTGCAATGTGTTGCTGTGCACTCAAGGACATGAGTCACTGCAAGGCAGGAGCTTCCTCGCCCACCTCACACGCTGCTACACTCCTTTGGAGCATCAAACTAGGGATTCAGTGCACCCAACTGCTGGGGTGGGAAAGTGTCCTCGCTGTGAGTCTCCTTAGAGCCCTGCTGTAAGAGGTGGGTTGCAGGGTGTAAGGGCACGGAGAGGACATAGCAATGCCCACAGACAGAGCTCACCTGCCTCATGCTGTAGGCAAAGAGGAATCCCATGTTGTAGCCCACTTCATGGAGCAGCAACAGCATCTGCTGGTGGTCCTCTTCCATGTCCCCGCAGAAGCCTGTAATACAGTTGTTTCTGAGGCTCATCCCTGTCAGAGGCATGGGGTGAGATGGGGAGGAGCAGGGACCCTGCTATCCCGTGGGCAGGAGGGGAACTGATTTCCCAGCCTGGCTCCCACTCACGGCTCTCTTCCAGTCTGCAGAGCACAAAGCACTTCAGCCACAAAGCGAGTGCCGGACAGGCCACAGCTGGCAGCCCCCTTCAGGGAAGATGGAGGGTTTCTACCCCTGCCCCTCTGACTACCAAAAATGACACCATGATGCAGCTCAGAGCAGCGGGCCCACAGGTTCAGGGGGAACCCAGCACCTACAGGGCCTGCTCAAAGCAAGGGCTCTGCCAGGCCAGGCTCCCCTCCTTTGGGTCTTCAGTGCCCTGTCAAGAAGACAAGTTCCCATAGGTTGGGAGTGAGGGGCACTGGCAGGGCTGTGGGGGCATGGGCTGAGGGTTGGGAGTGAGGGGCACCAACAGGGCTGTGGGTTGGGAGTGAGTGGCAACTGAATGGACAGGGGCAGGGCACTGGCATATCACTGTCCCCACACCCATCTATTCCCCTGGACCTGCATCCTGTATGACAGGTCTCCTCTTTTTTGCAACTGGAAATATGGTAACTGTAGCCAACACCTAGAACAGAGGAGTATGGAAAAATGCTCTGTTGTTAAGTGTAATAATGACATACAGTGGGTTTCTTCCGTGGGAAATTTTGAATGACTCAGTGAAATTTCCTGCACTTTAGAAGCCATTTGAGAGGATACCGGATATGAGACAGGTCTTTACCATATGACAGCAGAATGGGATCCAATGGCTAGAAGTTGAAAGCAGTGAAAGTCCAGCTGGAATAAGGCACATTTTCATTTTTAGTGGTGAAGTTAATTAAGCACTGGAACACACCACCAATGGATGTGGTAAACTCCCCATAACTTGGTGTCTTTTGAATGACATTAGGGGCCAGATTGCATTTCGGCTATTAGGTGCCTATATGGACTTCTGAGATAAGGAGGGTGGAACAGGATCACAAGGATAAGTCCCTGAAAAAACATAAGTGTGCCTACTTCTATAACACATCCACATCTTCAT